GAACATTTTCTTCTTGACTATTTTTAAGTTTCCGTCCAAAATCCGCCTGTAGGGGGACACGCCCGACCTAATCCGAGTTGTTTTTCTGACGATCCCCAGGCCAGGTGAGGACCCCCTGATGCAGAACATTGCTCCAGACCTTTGGTCGGGAACGTTTCGCGTCGCCAGGATGTCAGGGGAGCTGTGGATGTGGCAGGTCCCAAATGGGGTCCGAGCAGGTGGGGTCGGAGAATCGCGCTGCGTCGCCGATGCACCGGCGATGCGGCTCGATGTGGAGCTCCATTGTCTCCACGCCGATGGCGCCGACGCATCGCCGATGCATCGCCGACGCATCGGCGATGCATCAGCGATGCGGCGCGATCGTCCGACTGCATTCGCTCGGATCCCGCTTGGCCGCTCGGATCGCAGGCCCTCGGAGACTTGGGGCTCCCCCTCACTTGGACCGATCTTCAATTCCAGCTTATTTCTCGGCGGTGAGCGAGGGGGAAGGGAGAAGGAGAAGGCTTTCCCAGAAGGCGGCGGGACTTCTCAGAAGCCCTCGCGCCTTCTGAGAAGCTCTCCGTGCCTCCAGGGAAGGCCCAGAAAACCTTTCGGAAGGCCACTGGACTCTCCGAGCCTTCCGAGAGCAGGCCCGCCCCTTCTCGCTATTCCCCCCCCGGGCCCCGCCGCCGAGTTTTGGCCTCCTCCTCCGAAGCCAGGACCCCGGCCCCCAGACGAGGCCAAAGCGCCAGGAGCGTGTTTCTTTATTGCCTGGGGAATAATGGGCATTATAGCCTCCGGCCCCCCCTCCCCCCCCATTCACGTAACGCCCCTCCCCCCCAGTGCGCTCCGGGCACTGCCGCCGTGCGCACGGCGGGGGGTAGGCGTTACATTATTCTACCCCCCTGGCCCCTTCCCCCCCCAATAATGCCCACTATCGCCGAAAATAGCAAAAACGCGCTCCAGACAAGGCCGAAGCGCCAGGCTCTCCGCAGGCTCCCCGCCGCCCCCCTCTGGGGGAACCAACAGGTACCGCCACCGCTACTCCCCGGACCTCTCCCGGGGTGCGTTCTGACCGGGATCTCGAGGCGAACCCAGCGGTGGCGACACCGAGGCCCAGGAGGCCCAAACCGGGGAAAACGGGGGGAGGGTAGAGGTATGGGTACCTGGTCCTCCGGGTCGGAGTAGATGGAGTCGGAGCGTCGCGCCGCATCGCCGACACATCGGCGATACATCGCCGATGCACCGGCGATGCACTGGCGGCATCGGCGATCGTGGAGAAAGTCTCCACATCGAGCCGCATCGCCGATGCATCGGCGATGCGTTACGATCCTCCGACCCCATCTACTCCGACCCCATCTAGAAGGCTTCTAAAAGCGCCAGGCTCCTCGCCGCCCCCACCAGGACGGCCACCGAGAAAACCTGCCAAAATCTTCGGAAAATCTTCAACAGGAAACTCACCCCCCCAGAACAAAACTTGAACAAAACTCTAAACCGAAACCTGGAAAACTCTCCCCCCCAAAAGGAACTTCACAGCGCCAGGATCCCCGCCGCCCCCACCAGGACGGCCACCGAGAAAGCCTGCCAAAATCTTCGGAACATCTTCAGCAGGAAACTCACCCCCCCAACAAAAATCTTGAACAAGTCTTTCAACCAAAACCTGGGAAATCTCCCCCCCCCCCCCAAAGAGAAACTTCACAGCGCCAGGCTCCCCGCCGCCCCCACCAGGACGGTGGCGCCGAGCCCTGCTGCTGCTCGCGGGCGCGCGGCGCGCGAGGGCGGGGCCCGACGCGCTCGCCTGCGGCGCCGCGGTCGGGGCCTGCGGGAGAGGCGCGCCGGCGGCGGGCACCGGCGGACGGGCGCCCCGGGGCAGACGCCTACAGCCAAGGACGCTGAAGTATGAGGAGCACGCGGGGGCAACGGTAGAGGGGCATAGGCATCGGGGGGGGTGCATCGACCTGGAATCCGCGATACATTGCCGATAGATCGGCGAGAGGCCCCCGATAGCGCATCCGCACCTTCTGCCCCTATCGTTGCTCCCGAGTGCCCCTACAGTCAAGACTTAGTTCGGGCATGTCCCTCTACAGGAGGAATATTCAAAAATAGTCAAAAAATTGTATGGGGACGATTTTTTGACCATGTCTGAATTCTTTGGGAGTCTTTTTATTCCAAAATCCGCCTGTAGGGGGACAGACCCGACCTAATCCTACAGTCAAGACGCTGAAGTATAAGGAGCACTTGGGGTTCAGAAGGGGCTCGATGTTCCTTGGGTCTTTCGGTCCTAGGACTCCTTGATGGGCTCGGAGTAGATGGGGTCGGAGGATCGCGCCGCATCGCCGATGCATCGCCGATGCGGCTCGACCTGGGGCCCGATTTGCTTCACGTCGACGTCGCCGATGCATCGCCGACGTCGACGATGCATCGGCGGTGCATCACCGATGCATCGCCGATGCATCGCCGATGTATCGGCGATGTGGCGCGATCCTCCGACCCTATCCACTCCGACCCCATCTAGGAGGCCTCTATCTGTGGTCGTTCCTCTGGCTCTCCTCGTGCACGCGGGCGCTCCTGGGGCCAAAGAGGGGCTGCGTTCCTTACCTGCCGTTCCTTCTTTCGGCGGCCCGGTTGTAGGCGCCAGGCCTGCCGGATGGGGCCCGAGCAGATGTTGGTCGACTGGACGTAAGAGTGGCCTCTCGCCGGAGTGACCTCCGGTGCGGGCCTGGTGGGGCCCCCGATCGCTGATCGCGAAGCGGCAGTGGCGGCTCGCGCGCTCGGTTGTGCCTCCCTCGCGCTCCCCCCAAGGAAAGCCGCGCACCACAGGTCACTCTTGCCCAGGGTCAGTCTTCCTACATGTAGCCGGTTGGGGTCGGAGGACTGCGCCGCATCGCCGATGCATCGCCGATGCGGCTCGATGCAGAGCCCGATCTCATCTACGCCGATGGCGCCGATGTATGGCCGATGCATCGGCGATGCGGCACGATCCTCCGACCCCATTTACTCGGACCTCATCTGGACTATTTTTATTTTTCCTCCAAAATCGTCCTGTAGGAGGACATGCCCGACCTAAATCTAGGGCTCCGGTCGTGGCTTTTGGTGATGCTGCATTTTTTGTGCAACGTTGTGTTTCGTTTTTTTCCCTGGATTTCGGTTTCTGGGGTTCGTTGCCGGGCCCAGGGACAGTCAGCCAATGAATCCGGGGCGGAAGTCTGGCCCTATAGGGAGGGGGATCGAGATGTTCGGGGGGCACATCCACGGAAGACATCCCGGATGTCTGGGTCGCCGACGTCCCCAGACATCCGACGCCGTCACATTTCACGGCCCACTGAACCACCCCAACCCAACCCGAAGGCCTCGATTTGTCTTCCATTTCCAGTGGTGGGGGGGGGTCAGGGCGCATGGAACAAAAAAAAAACAGATGGAGCCCGTACCCCCCCCCACCCGAAGTTCGGGCCTTCGGGTTGGGTTGGGGTGTGGTCTGGTAGGCAGTCAAGGTCTTCGCACAGTGGCTCCCGAGTGGTCTGGGGCCCCTGGGCATTCTCGCGTCATGGTCAAAGCCACGACGGAGATGTGTGTGTGTGTGTGTGTGTGTGTATGTTCTTGTTGGCCCCTGGGGCCCTGGCGCCCCGCGAGCGCCAAAGCACCTACTCGGGATGAAAAGCTGGCTGGTCCCCGCTGCCGTGGAGGGCCCACCCGAAACTCACCTCCTCCTCCTCCTCCTTCTCCTTCTCCCCCTCCTCCTCCTCCCCCTCCTCCTCCTCCTCCTCCTCCTCCTCCTCCCCCTCCTCCGTTCCTTGTAAATAATGTCTCCCTGTCGCACCCCGATGCCAGTTTTAGGGCGGGCCGGGCGTTTCGCTTGAGACTTCCTCATTATTGATGACTCTGCAGAACCGTATAATTTAGCAATAGTTTCACAGATGGAGGGCGGGTGGTTTCAAAATGTGGCTCTCGCCTCAGCGCCGTGCACATTCGTTGTAAACATTTGCAAGAGTTCCACGGATTGAGGACAACCAGTTTTCAAAGTGTGGTTCTCGCCTTAGCTCCGCGCGCGTTCATTTATACAATTTGCATGAGTTTGACGTATTGAGGACAAGCCGTTTTCAAAATGTGGCTCTCGCCTTAGCGCCGTGCACATTCGTGGTCAAACATTGCAGGAGCTTCGCGGATTGAGGACAACCCGTTTTCACAATGTGGCTCTCGCCTCAGCGCTGCGCACATTCGTTTTCAATGTTTCACGGGTTGAGGACAGCCCGTTTTCAAACTTTGGCTCTCGCTTTAGCGCCGCGCGCATGAGTTTAAACAACTTGCGAGATCTTCACGGATTTCCAGGATCAACGTGGCAGAAATTGTGTTTTGAAAGGATTGAGGATTTTGCGGGTGCAACAGTTACGTTGATTTGCGGTGTTGAGATCCCAAGAATGGCGTTCTGGCACGGTTCAAGATCGTCAAGACGCAACAGTCAGGTTGATCCGTGGCGTTGGAATCCCGAGAACAATGTTTTGGCATGCTTCAGGGTCTTCAAACGGGTGTCTTCCAACGGGAGTTCTTTCAATGGAAATGAATCGTTGTAGGGGCCTATGAAGAGGGAGCTTGGAGGGAGGGTGTCTTCCAACATCGTTGTTGGCTCTTGGGTTTACACTGGTCCTCCTCCTCCTCCCTTGTCGTCGTCCTCTCGTCCTCCTCCTCCTCCTCCTGCTCCTCCTCCTCTTCCTCCTCCTCCTCCTCCCCCTCCTCCTCTTCCTCCCCCCCTCCTCCCTCCCCTCCTCCTCCCCCTCCTCCTCCTCCTCCTCCTCCTCCTCCTCCTCCTCCTCCTCCTCCCCCTCCTCCTCCTCGCCTCCTCCGCGAACGGGTTCACACCTCGCTTGAGACGTGGCGAACCACAGCGCGACGGCGCATGTCCGGGCCGGGGCCCGAGGACGGGCTCCCCCGTCCCCGAGGCGTTTTTTTTTTGTTGGCGGGTCCGTGGGGCCCGGCCCGGCAAGGGCCCTCCGGGAGGGCGACGATTTCCCCGAGTCCTCCTCGGGGGCGGCAAAGAGGGGGGTGACGACTAGGGGGGGGGGTGGATATCATGGCGGGGGCCATGATTTTTCCCCAGATTTCATGGCGCCTCTTCTTATTCCATCACGTCCCTGGCCCCCCCGCTGGGCCGCGCACATGCCGCCGGTCATGATTTGCGCCCCCCCTTCTTGGACCCCCCCCTCTTGGCCGCTCACGAGACGTCAGGGTCGTCGTCATTTTTGTTCGTGTCCCGCAGAGATCCAGGATCGTCTTGGCCAGTCTATCGCGACAGCCGCCCTGGGCGAGGGAAGTCGGCGGAGCCGCAGAAGGGGTTGGGGTGATGGGCTGGCCTCGAAGAAGGCAGGGAGCTTCTTCGAGGCATCTGACGGCCCGTGCAGAATCGAGGCACCAGGTTAGTCGTCATTTCTGGCCCCTGGAAGGTGTGATGGGGTTAAGGATGAGGGTGGTTAGATGACCCATCGTTGCTCAGCTAACCCCCCTTCCGCTGAGGTTCAGGAGTGTCAGGCATGTCTGAAAGCTTGAAGCGGGTCGGTTGGATGGCTACGGAAGCAGGAGGATGGGATATTATCAGCATCATAGTCATCACCGATACGTCGATACCGGCCCAAGGCAACAAAGTCCTCATCCTCATCATCACCACCATCATCATCATCACTACCATCATCACTACCATCATCACCACCATCATAATCCGTAGTATCATTATCATCCTCATCCTTACCCTCATCATCCTCATCATCATAATCATTATGATCACCATCGCCATCAGCATCAGCACATTCATCATCATCATCATCACCATCATCGCCATCATCATTATCAGCCACATTATCATTATCAGCATCATCATGCGAATGTTTATGATCATTCGCATCACCACCATTTCCATTAGCATTACCATCAATATCATCTTCATTGGCATCCTCATCCTCATCATCGTCATCATCATCATCATCATCATCATCATTATCATTATCAGCATCGTCATCGTCGTCGTCATCTTTATTATCGCTACCATTCCCATCATCATTAAACTCATCACCATCATCGTCATCATCGTCACCATCCTCATCATCGTCATCATCATCAGTATCATCGTCCACATCACCATTATCCATCGCCGGCATTGCCCTCTTGCACTCATCACCATCATCGCCATCGTCATCGTCGTCGTCATCAGCATAATCAACATAACCATACACATCACCATGACCATCACTACTGTCATCAGCATCAGACTCAGCATTATTCTTATCAGCATCCGCATCGTCGTGATTAGCATCATCATCTTCGTAATTACCATCATCACCATCGTCCTCTCAATCACCACCACCAGCATTACCATCAGCATTATCATCAGCATCATCATTAGATATGGCCGATCATCAGTATCATCATCAGCATCATCATCACCATCGCCGTCGTCATCATGAGCATCATTACCACCACAAATACCACCACCATCATCATCTTCAGCGTTGGAATCAGCACCATCATCCCCACCACCATCATCATATTCATCAGTATTTCATCATCATTACCATCACCATCCGTAGTACTTTGGGCTCAAGCAATCTTGGTTCATGGCCAAGATGGTTCCCTTTCCCCTGCCTCAGCGGGGTAGGCTCCCATCCGATTCCCATTGCTCATTCAAACGCTACAAGGGTTCCAAGACCAGGTCCGTCCCATGACACTTCCATATCCAAGTCCTGGTCCGAGCCCCGCGCCCCAGGCACTTTCATATCCAAGTCCAGGCCCGAGCCGTGCGCCCCTGGACCTTCCATATCCAAGTCCTGGACAGAGCCTCGCGCCCC